TTAGGGAGACCACCTGGTGCAGCAGGTCATCCCCTGTGCAATAATAGGTCAAGATCGCATTTTGCCAGCCCTACCTGGAATCATAGCGCTGAAGACCCAGAGTGATGGTGTAGGTTACCACTCGCTTCCGGTTGTATAGGTTCACCCCGCTGTACTTCCCCGGGACTCCAAACAGCAGATCTGAAGGGAAAGGAGAGACAGGAGGGAGACCACCTGGTGCAGCAGGTCATCCCCTGTGCAATAATAGGTCAAGATCGCATTTTGCCAGCCCTACCTGGAATCATAGCGCTGAAGACCCAGAGTGATGGTGTAGGTTACCACTCGCTTCCGGTTGTATAGGTTCACCCCGCTGTACTTCCCCGGGACTCCAAACAGCAGATCTGAAGGGAAAGGAGAGACAGGGCTTGAAAATTACACAACTGGGGGGAAAACATGGTTGTCTAAGCTTCTATACCGTTTCCCTAACCTGAAAATAAGCCCTAGTATGATTTTTCAGGATGCTCATAATATAAGCCCTACCCCAAAAATAAGCCCCAGTGCAGTGAATCCCCACGCTCCACCCTTGTGCATCAACCAGAAGATGATGGCATGGCTGTCTTTGAATAAATGTAGATGGCTGTACATGATAAAAGTAAAGCATCCCCTGAAAATAAGCCTGAATGCGTTTTTTTTGGAGCAAAAATTAATATAAGACCCTGTCTTATTTTCGGGGAAACACAGTACAAACAACACACACATTTTTTAAAAAACCATGACCACCACCCCACAGATGGGAGAGAATCACATTCAGGCTGGCAACATCCATATGGGAAACCGGTGGGCTGGCAAGATGGGCATTCCTTGGCTCCTTCCACTTATAATCAATTTATACCTTGGGAAGTGAGTCACACAACCGCACCACCCTTCTCACCTTTGGGGGTAGCTGAGGTTTGCAAGGTCTTTGGTTCATGCTGATGGATGGTTTTGATGATATCAGGGTCAGCCCGGAAACGTTCCTGGTCATTCTGCCAAAAGTTCCCCGGGGAGAGCAGTAGGCAGCCATGTTCTGGAAGCAAGCCTCGAAGCTTCCGTAGGTTGGGCAGGAGGTCTGTTACCTGAAGGCAGATTTCTTCCAGACCTTTGATACCGGAGCTGGAAAGAAACCCATAGTCAGCTTTTGATCCACAACAATTTCAAGATCCTTCTCACTATGAGTTATAATACATGTAACTGTCTGTTCGTTTTTTTCCCTAGGTGCAGAATTTTGAATTACCCTTGTTAAATTTCATTCTGTTGTTTTCAGCCCACTGCTTGAGCCTATCAAGACCTTTTTGAATGTTGTTCCTGTCTTCCAAGGTATGAACTATTCCACCCCATTTTGTGTCATCTGCAAATTTGATTAAGTATTCCGTGCACTCCCTCATCCAAGTCATTAATAAAAATGTTGAAAAGCACCAAGCCATGACTGAGGCTTGGAGTACCCCACATTATCTCCCTCCGAGTTTGACAAGGAGCCATTGATAGGCACTATCTGAATATGATTCTGTAATCAACTGTGTGTCTATAAGATAGATGTTCTATCCAACGCAGACCTAGTTAGCTTGCTAATCAGAATCTCATGGGGCACTTGGTCAAAGGCTTTGCTGAAGTCAAGATATATTATGTCTACAGCATTCCCACTATCTACCAGGTTACCTGGTTAAAATGAACAAAAATGAAGCATTAGCGAGCTCATCTTCATTTCTCAAACCCACCTGTCTCGGAGGGCATGATTCCTGATTTCATCCACTAACTGGAACACACGGGAGAGTGGCGAACGAAACACATCCACAGCCAGGAATGATGTGGGCCACGGAGAGACAGTGGCCTTTACTAGGACCTGCTGGATGTAGGCAACAGGAGTCCCAGTGTACTAAAGGGAAGAAACAGGCACATGAAGATGCATGAGTCAGAAGGCTGAAGAAAGAGTGGACAGAGCAAGACCACTGGGCAGCCAGTGGTGCTCCACATCCTTCCCACACAGCAATGCCCTGATATTTTAAAAACTTCCCTGTAACCTCTCCACGTTGTAGCTTTCTTGCTACTAGCATACGGCTCAGCAGTAGAGTGTAGGGTAAGTCCTGGCATACCCTCCTGAAAAACTGACAGGACCAAGAAAAAACCCCTCTGCCTGGGGAGCCTGGAAACCTCCTTCTGAACCTGGGGCTACGCAAACCATCTGCAGAGCTGGAGAAAAGCAGCTTCCTGTGTGTTTGTGACCCTTCTTGGGAGCGGCTGCTGAATGGCACAGGCTTCAATTCAGCTCTCTCCAGTACCTGATGCAAGAAGAAGCAGGAGGTGGGGAGAGCCGGGCTAACAACTGGGCTGTTTCAAATATCAGGGGAGAATGACAAAAGCAGGCAAAAGGGGAGCAGGAATAAGAGGATATAGAAAAGTGAGTGACAAGCAATCTGATGGTTCCCAATCTTGGGACCCCAGATGTTCCCAAACTACAACTCCCAGAAATCCTAGCAAGCGCACGGTGAAGGCTTCTGGGCGTCTTAGTCCAAGAACATCTGGAGACCCAAGGTCAGGAACCACTGCTTGAATAAACAGATACAATAAAAGTTATCTCCGGGTTCACACTTGCTGCTGCCATGGAGGAAGACTCAAGTGAGTGCCAGACGGCTTCACCGGAGCCTCTTGCTCGTCAGACACACGGCAGAAGCAGTACCCAGTCAGGCCTCTCGCTGGGCTCCCCTTGCTGGTGTGCTGGGTAGGCTGGCGGCTGCAAGTAGTCCTTCGCAGGGGTGGTGTATTCCACAGGTCCAGTGCCAGGGAGTGGGAGCTTCAGCAGGGGATAGCTGCAGAATGGAAAAAATGGAGGTATATTAAAGGCAAATCCAAGTCCACAGAAGGGCCCAAAAGATACACCCTCCCTCTTCAAGACTGGAACTCTTACCCTGACATAACACTGACAGATGCTAGAAGAGAGGCAACATGCAACAAGAAAAATAACACTCAGTGCAACCCTTTTAAAAGACCTGGATGTCTAAAAAAGCTGCACAGCGCCATGGAAGCAAGATCTCTGCATACACTGCCAAGGAAAGGCAGCCTGCTCATTCCTAGGCTCTTCTTTCCATTACTGCCTTTACCTGACATTTCCCTGCTAGAACCCCCTGGGTTTTCAAACCTTCTCACTCTAGTTAACCCTGGACAACTGAAATTAATATTCCTGGGACTGTTTTGAAGAGAATGTAAAAAAAAAAAAAAAGCTTTGGGTGAGGAAACCTTTCATTTAATGAATCTGTAGAATGTGAGCACTTGCAAGCGACCTTCCCCCCATCACCAACAACCCATACACTCTGAAATAATCCTTCCATTCCACTCTGAAATAATCTATCCAGCTGCAGAGTTCCAAGGGCACTTTTAACGGGCAAATCATAAAGGAGACTTGAGAAAGGAGGCTTTCTATTAATAGAACATTAATTCTGGGTGCATTTCTGAAGTCTCCTCCGTGTTTACGTTGCTGAAGTATTCTTCCATGTGAAAAGGAACATGGCATTTTCTCCTGTTGCCGAACTCAACACCAAGGACACAATTCTGTTTATTAATGAGCAACATGTTCTCAACATCCAGAGCGGCAAACACTTATTGCTGCAACAGTCAAAGATACACAACCGAGTACGGCTAATGAATACCAGGACCAAAGGAGAGGAACAGGGCAGGAAAAACGTTTCAATGGGTGAAAACATTTTTCCCTGTTCTTTAAAATAAACACAAGAAGAAGACATCCTTCCCAAGATTAGACTTTACTAAACCCCTCAGTCCAAACAACAGGTGGAAGAACAACACGAGGCTGAATGGCCTTGGACCAAGGAAGGTGGCTGAGGAGGACTCTCGTCAGCCACTGCCTCAGTCGGAGGAAGGTCAGGCTTCGCACAGGGTTATTGCAGCTGTGGAAAGCAACACATGAAAAGCCAACTCTCCAGACAGCCTCTCTCGCTGTCCGCTGGGCCGGCTGGATGGTGCGCTGTGCTTCCTCACACTTTATATTTATACTGACAGATGACTTCTTGCTCAGATGCTTCCCTTTACCCACTTTCCACAGATCCCAAATATGCAGCGGAGGTAAACTCATCCCAGAATGCCTCTG